TCTCTTCAGTACAGATGCGGTGGTATCTGAGGGCTTGGCTGTATATCACTGCTTTTTTGGTGTGTTTCGGGTGATTGCTGGTTCTGTGCAGATATGTATGTTGGTCTGTGGGTTTCTTGTATACTGTGGTCTGTATTTTACCCTTCTGGATACTGATCCTTGTGTCTAAAAAGGGGATGTTGGTGTTGGAGTATTCTAAAGAAAGTCGGATGGAGGGATGGTGACTGTTGAATTTCTGGACCGTGCCATGACAAGAAATGCAAAACCTGCCCCCACATCTCCACCACCCCCACAATTACTCCACCCCACAACAGAGCCATCAGCATCCCAGGATCTTACAGCTGCACCTCCAGGAATGTAGTATACCTCATCCAATGCACCAAATGCCCTGATGGAAGATATGTAGGAGAGACCAGACAACAATTGCACACCAGAATGAACGCACACCGGAAATCCATCAAAGACAGAAACACCCAATTATCGGTGGGGGCACATTTCTCACAGGAGGGCCACTCTCTCTCCAATCTCTCAGTCCTGATCCTCAAGGGAAATTTACACAACACATCCCAGAGACGAGCCTATGAGCTCCATTTCATCAACCTCCTGGATACTAGAGATCAGGGACTAAACGTAGACATTGGATTTTTGATACATTATAACCTGCCTGGCAACTGACTCCCCAGCCCAGCCCAGCCCCTGGCTTCTTTACTTTTCATTCCATCCAGGAAGAGCACACACCAACTGCTGCAGCTTCCCTAGCCTGACGAAGGGTTTTTGAACCCGAAAGCTTGCTTAATAACTATTCTCCAACCATTTGGGTTGGTCTAATAAAAGATATCAAATTCACCCAAGGAACCTTGTCTGCCTATATCCTTAGACCAACACGGCTACAACCTAAACCCCTGCAGCATGAGTTAGAGCAGGGACTTGCATATCTGTCAGCACCTAAAAAGACAGTTGTGACAAGAGATGTTCACATTTTCCTTGATACATTTTTGCACACAAATTTGAAAGCTTTTTCGCTTGATGAACTGCAAAGAAGGGGAAAGTATAGTCCTATTGAAATCCATGAGAGTTAATCATCTTGCTTAAGGTAGCAGGTGTAGGCAGAACTACATTTATCTAAGTTTAAATTTTGAGCATGTACCCACGCATACCCTTTTAAATAAATTATTTTCTCAAATTCCTCTTCGATTGAAATTGCAACTTCTCTCTCTCAGCCCAAAAGGTTTTTTTTCTCCTAGAAAATGTGAGCAAAACTAGCTGAATCTAAAAGTTTAAAACTGGTTAGTTGTATTACTACCAGAGAAGAATTTACAATACCTTCTCAATTGTGCAACAGTCTACATGCATGATTCATTTTACCTACTGTGAACTAGTTCACTGAAGTCAGTTGGAACACTCAGAGAGCACAAAATTAAACATAGGCATAAGTATTGGCAGGATCAGTAGCTTACCTGTGATGTCCAAGCTTCCTGAAAGATGAGCTGGTTATAGATACTTCTATTAACAATGCTTCAGATAAAGATGGCTAATAGCACTTTCCAACAATGCATTTCTTTCCCTTTAAGTGACAAGAATGTGCAGTGCACAAATATATTGTTAGTAAAGCCTTAAGAGAAAGAAATTAAACATGCGCAGGTCAAAATTTTTCAAAATCTAAAACAGCTGATGTTGCATGCAAGGTATGTTCTCCCATTATTGCTTTTCTTGTTAAATGTAAAACCTGGAAGTGTGATTATATCAGAACAAGCAGCTCCAAAAATACGAGCAAACCATTCCATGAATTTGTATCAACAATACTGATTTTACATGTAAAACATTTGAATTTTTAAATTACTGTTTCTTTAAATTTGTTCCAACATCTGACAGTCAAGTTGTCTTCTTTCTGGCTTATGTATTGTTTTTAGAAATAAACAGGTCTGCAATAGGAACTTTGATAATGCATGAGCCAAAACAGAATCCAGTTCATGCCCTTGGCTGTATCAGCTCCACAGTGTGAGGAGGAGGAGGGGGAAGTAATTAAAAAAAGAACTTACTTTTATCTGCAAAACAAACAGCTGAGACCAAGTAAAGTCAAAGATGTATTGAAAAATAAGGTGGTAATTTCATGTAGTGCACTCCTCACTCTGATGCTTAAATATGTTTTTTATAGTTATTTAGTGGACCATTGTAGGTATATTGTCAGGTATGTTTATTATTCTCATAGTGTAGAACATTGGGCCAAATGTTCAAAAGCAGCCCCCAGTACTGCAGGCAGTTAACAACTGGTTCAATTATTTGTGCCTACACAGCGCACATTTAGAAGCCTAATTCGCCTGATTGAGTTTATGCATTATTTGCACCTGAAGTTTTATGCCAGGCTTTAATTGGGAGCTGTTCATGCACGCACACACGTATCAGGAGTGAAACTTCAGGAATAGTAATAACTACTGCAGCCTCAAGGGCTCCAAGAGGAGCTGTATAACAAACTCACTGTCACTCCATGGTTGCTGGGTGAGGGTTTCTTTCACATCCAGCTACTCGGCCTTGGCACAAAGGGAGATAGTTTAGCCCTGCAGAAATAACAACATCCGTCATGTGTGAGACTTGTTTTTAAAAGGCTATTTCATTACAGCTGCATTGTATTTCATTGTAGGATAATTGCTATTTACAGTCTCTTTTCTGACCTCACTATTTCAGGAATTTTGTAGTAAATTTTGTAGTACACGTTGAAAGTAAATGTGTCCCTTTTACGGCATCTGGTGGTTTTTCCATTTGAATGACTAATTCAGTTTGACATATGTCTTGTCCAGGGTATTGTTGCATAGGGTGGATATGAAATTGGGGGAAGGCAAAAAGGTGGAGAAGTTAAAAAGGGAAAGGGAAATACTGCCTTTTCAGGGAGTTGCATTTTTAGAACCATTAGAAAAAGTCAGTACAGAAGGGAAAGAATTGATGTATGATCACTAGCCCAATCCTGAGAGAGAAACTCAAGATGCATTGACTTTGGAATTGATCTCAATCTCACTAACACTAGGCATTTAGCCCAGGCATAATTCAGTGATTCCTAGTGATATATATGCTAAAGATGGCAGTGGAATGTACGAGAGAGAATATCTACTACTGAAGTGCCATTAAGGTGCAATTTAATTAAATGGTGAGAGGCTTTTTTAATGTAAAAGCTTCTCTGCAGGCTGCATGGCATTGGTGTATGTTTCTATGGTCTAACTTAAGGTATTTGGGGACAAATTACCTATCATTCCTAACACTGGAGCAGTTCCTAAAATGGTATTAACAGAGGGAGCTATAGTACAGGGAAGATCTCTTGCAGAACAAGTGTATTTAACAGTGTTCAGTCCTTTTCACTTGTTCTGTCTGAGCAGGGAATTTTATATACCTCAAAGTTTCTGCCATGATTACTACTGTTCTGTTAAAACTGAATGAAAACATTGTTTATTATAAAGGGCCATTGCAATAGAGAAATAATGGTTACATTACAGATTGGATTATTACTATTTTTATACTTTTGCATATTCCCTTGGTATTTCTATATTAATGACTAGTGCAAACTGACTGGAGATTGAACAATTCAACTGCCTTCTCTGTTCTCAGATTTCAGAACTGAAGGCACATATTAGTTAGTAGATCTACCAACAGTGTGTTTCTAAAATAGGGTTCTTTAGCCAGAAATTCTGTCTGCTGTCACCCTGTGAACTATTGAAATTCAATCAGGTAGTTATTGTTGAAATTCTTTCAAGTATACCTGCAATTTTGCATCCACAGTTAATTGCAGGTACAAAATGTGAGGCCTTTTATTAAAATGGCATCATAATTAATCTCCCATTTTTCAGGCAGACCCAATGGTCTCATTTAAGATTCTAGTTAGTACTGAAATACAGCTGCTGTACACACACCTCACACTGACCTTTTGTTCCAACTTAAAAGTGAAGAGAGGAAATGTATTCCTAAAATCTCAGGGGACTCAGAGTGGTTCTGTATGTGTCATGCCTTAATTTAATTTTACACTTATAATAATGTGTCCGACTATTCATAATTATTCTTTAGATTTGTTTTCTTTTCATTAGCATTCCTGGATTGTTATAATAACTATTATTGCTATTGTTCTTCAAAACACCAAGGGCAAGACATGCTGTCCTTAAACTTTTGGCGATGCCCTGCCCACTAACAGGAGTCACTGAGGTCTATGCCTTCATTGCTGTTCAGATGGTTTCTGCGGGATTTAAGGGGCCTATAAGCTACTACACGGGAGTGGCTGTCTCCTTTAAAGAGTAAAAATCCTGTCTAACATCCTGCTTCTGTGCTGACCCCGAACCAAGCAGTCGGGGGTGGAGGTGGAATAGCATGATAGGTGGAATAGTCCTGATTGCGCCTCGGACCCTCTCCCACAGATCGCCCTACAATCAAACCGTGATATTTAACCTCTCTCCATGCTTCCCGGAAAGAAAGCATGCTGCCCCTGAATCATATGCCTTGTGCATCGGATTGACCTTTTCCCACAGGGCTCGAGCAATGGCAGCGGCGCCTCTGCAGGAGCTGGGGGGGGCGATGATCTTGTTTCCTACAGGACGGGAGGGGAAGCCGGGAGCCTGCAGCGCCGTGCCCCGCCCCAGCCCCAGCCCCGG